TTAACTACCTCCTTATTGTTTCGACGATTCCTTTGGCTGATGTTGATGCCTAAATTCCTTAATTTCTTATTATATCGGGATCTATGGATCTTATCCATCCTATCCGCCAAACCGTCCGCAATTTTCTGCTATTTAATAAAGTCTTCGGAGGCATGAAGATGAGGATGGTGTGGCCTTTTGTGTGGTCGCAGTCTCCTTTCGTTGTATAGAAGTTGTTTGACCTTGCTTTCACAACAGCCTTTTGTGTGGTCGCAGTCTCCTTTCGTTGTATAGAAGTTATTTGACCTTGTTTTCGCAACTTGGTCACATTGGTAGAAAGACTTAGAGGAACGCACCTTGTCCGGAGTCCATTGTATTCATAATCGTTTCCAAAGTCGGACCGTGGACGTGGTACATTTCCAGACGTTTTGCCGGCATCGTTAGTGAGTTTTGCTACTCGTAGCACCATATTACAATTCGTCAAAGAGAAAAGTAAAGCAAATCTTGCTTGGCTCCCATTTTGGCTAATAATTACATGTCAAGAATGAAGGAACACTTCATGGAAGAGGTAAGATTGGCACCCAAATTGTTAGTTAGATATATGGATGACCACTTTGCCATATGACAGCATGGCAAGGATAGTTTAGATAATTTCTTGTTTTTTATTAACCAGATTAATTGCAATATAAAGTTGACAATGGAGATGGAGGTCAACAATACTTTGCCCTTTTTACACGTATTAGTGATCAGAGAAGATGAGAAGTTAAACAGGGATGTCTATAGAAAGCCAACACATGCTGTCTTTATACTTAACTTTTTCTCCAATCATAGTTACAAAACAAAGGTTGGAGTTTTAAAATCTATAATTATTCGGAGCATAAGACTAGCCGATGTAGACAATTGTAAAAATGAACTGAATCTGCTTAAAATAATATTTCTTGAGAATAACTATTCCCTAGACATGATTGAAAATAACATTGGATTAATAAAGAATAGCTTTTTGATTGGTGAATATGAAAAGAGAGATCAGGAGACCTCTTCTCATATTTTGTCTTTACCCTCGTGCGTTCTCTCTAAAAGGAGGGGTGACCAAGTAAGGAAGTGGGGATTAAAAACGGTCTTCAGGGAAACTACGACACTGTTCAGTTATGCCTACTTTTAGAGAGAAAGTTGACCCATTATCCAGATCGGGTTTCTACAAAATAATGTCTTCATATGGTCGCTTTTATGTAGAAAGACTTGTCGTCCCATTCGACAGGGTGGCTGCAAAGGCTGTTGGGTTCAACATTCGGAGCTTGCTGAGCACAAGGATGAAACGGGACACCAGATGGAATGGTCTCAAACTTGTCATTTTGCTGATTATGGTATGTTTGCGGCTAAACGTACAATTAGAGAAGTCATAGAAATAAACCGAATAGGAAATACCTTGAATGTAAGGAATACCTGGAAGAAGAAAAGTAAAAACTATTTGTGCTTAATTAATAGACTCATGGATAGAGAGGGAACTGTCTTCTGCAAGGAGGAGGCGACGCAACTAGTCTTTTCTTTTTTTGGTTCTAATGATAGTCAATTCTCTGTACTTTTAGCTCATTTTTTCTTACTCGCATTGAGACCCAAAACAAAAAATAGGCTCATTAACAAAACCAGACGTGTCCGACCTTGCACAATCGGAGTGATGGTTATAATTTAAATGTAGAAATGAGGAGATAGGGGTCATCAAACCTTGATGGCCAAAAACGTACTGTCCTTTTTGCTGTCCTAATTACTTTGAGCCATCACTTCGAGTTTCGTGTATAAGCGAACACAAACAGACACATACAAATAGAGAGACAGACATACTCACATGCTTCGAAGTTGAGATAGGACCGTAACTAACCAAATCACTTTATACTTGATCAAAGGCCACATATAGAGTATATATACCACTTTTTAGGGACTTGTTAGCTTGAATTTTGTTGTGATGATGTTACCTCGCACTGATGATGTCCGTCTTTAAGCAAACGTATATTTGCTACAACAATCGACTACGTTACTTATTTTTCGTATGTAAGTAGAGTTTCGAATACATCTTATATTACTGATTTACTGGTAGTCTCGAAACTATACTTTAATACGAAAAATAGTTTATTTGTGTAAGGAAATTGCTGCCACCGAAACTACTTCTGGTTCCGGAAGTCACTTCACTCGTTTGTAAGCATGCAGAGTAAATTTGGAGTAGCCAACCAAATCATGGGATGTTTCATTAAGATCACGAACTTAGGCGTATAAAAAGGTACTAGAGCTATAGCCGGCCACCTTATCTTTTGGTTAAATATATTTTTCTTGACTCTCTAGCTTGAATATTGTTGTGACGATGTTACCTCGCTCTGATGATGTCCGTCATGACGGACGAAAGCTTAGCATCTTTTCACCGGAATCGAATGAGATTGCCTCGGAAACAATTGAATATTCCAGTAAAGCCAATCGACAGCTGGTCAAGAGGAATCCGCCGTCGTCTTCTGGTGGAACCGACCTTCAAATCTCTTTACCCAACACTTTCACTCGAAATGGAAGTAAGCTTAACAATTAGTAACATTTCGCCAAAAGCCTGCTTAATCTTTTATACGTAACTGACCTCATCCATTAGCACCACTGCTCCCATTCGTCTGTTCTTAACACTATTTGTTGCTTGTCTCTTAGTTTTTTTTATTGATCTTGTCTATTATCCTATTACTTGGTGATATCTCTAGATGACTATGAATTGAAGGGACAACCTGCAGCTCGATGCCATCTTAGTATCTTCTGGCAAATTGTCAGTAAGACTTGTGAGTTTCACCATTATTTCTCTCCTGCCATCCTCACTGTTAGGCAACGCATAGTTCAAGCCTTCAGAAAGGACTTCCTTAGTGTTATTATCAAATGCTCTTTGGGACAGGTTTATCACTCTATATCCTATTCTACCTCCCTCCATTACGTCTGCCCTTACTGTTTCCAGATAACTCTTCGTCCTTATTCTTATACCCAAATCCCTAAGCTTTTAATTGTGTTTTGTCCTCACCTGTTAAAAAACAATATCGTATAACTTATCTGTCATTGTTTGCCACCTAAGCAAGTCGTTCGGATCTTTATGAACAATAAGGGTTGCATTATGGATAAAACATCAAGATTTATTTGTGGTTAATTAAAGCAAATCTCAGGCTTTGGGAAATTTTAATAAAGAATTATCATTACTTTAAAAAGGTAATGGATGACAAAACAATAGAACCGGAAGATTTGTCTGTAGGTTTTAATTTAATATGGACTCACACGAATACACTAGTAAGTGGGATCATACAGGATTTAGGTTTTGACATTAGATCAACACCCAGAGATTATAACAGTAAATAAGATAGACAAGGAGTCGATGATGAGATTAGCTAATTTAATAATGAATAAGATATAGTTAACATTCAACGGTAAAGTATATGAGCAAACCGGAGGTTTGACTATGGGATCCCGTTTTAGCTAACAACTACATGGCTCACTGAGAAGTCCGGCTTTTTTAAAGAGTACTCCTAGTTTCGAAGTTATTGCTCCGATATATGGATTACTACTTTGCTATCTGGCAGCATGGCACAGAGACTCTGGAAGACCTCCTCAGGTTAATGAGTAGATTAGATAGGACGACTGAATTCACTGTGGAGTTAGAAAAGAACAGTAAATTACCAGTTTTTAGTTGCCTTGGTTATTAAGGAAAGGAAAAAACTGCC